GGTGTCTGGCGAGAGAGAGGGAAGGGTCGAGCAGAATATGGCAGAGGAGCAGCTGCCAGAGGGGAGGGAAGGACTGCTTGCCAAATCCGATCCCGGGGCACGACCTGCGGCCAGTTTCTCCTGCACATGGCCAGTTTCAGCAAGCCGAGCCAACGATCCCTCTCCCATGCCTACGCCCCCTCGGCGGCCGCCGTCTGGCAAGAGCCAATGTCTGGAGGGGCACAGGCAAATCAACCGTGAGTGCACAAAGATGATACCCCCCTCACCCACGGTCTAAAAAGGGGTCAGCAGGATGATGTATCCCGGCCGCTGTTACAAGCAGTATGCAACGTAAGATGAGCTGCCTAGGCAGGCGTCGCCAGTGGTCAGCCTCTGGTCCTTTCAGAGAGTAGCGCGAGGAGGCCTGTGGCGAAGACAGCTGAAAGCCAGACGGTCAAAAGCGCACACCCCTTTTCCTCCGGCGGCTCGAGTACATGTAGCAATGCGCGGATCGACTAGACATCCCTCTATCCCAGCCACAATGTACCGGACCCCGAGACTGCCACCAACCAGGTGACAAACACGATGACGAAAGACAGGTGAGGAGAGTCACAGTTCTCTGCCTCAAGGGGCAGTGTACACAGAGAGCTGCATGAAGTCGGTTGTGATTATACGCCAAGCAATGTCTCCTCTTCAGGTTTAGACATGGGTATTGACGCTCTCACATCTTCGCGCGTGCATAGAACCGATAAATACAATGGCATGTCATGTCCTGCCTACACAAGTACAAGAGACCAATCCGTACTAGCTCCACTCATCCTCGCTATCTTGTATCTCCACCTCCCTCTCGCTCTCCTGTACCTCTGTGTCATTCCCCCCATCCCGTGCCTCAGTGTCCGGCCTGATGGCACCCTTCAGGTCCTTTTGAAAGTCCTCAAAGCGGCCTCCACTCCCAGGGTAGAAGTCTACGTGTAGGGTGATACAATCATCCGATACAGATCGAAATCTTCTCTTTGCGGGTTAGTCCACGCACCCATCGTCTTGATGCCTAGACTTAGAAACCTCATACAGGAGGATCGTGTGAAGAGAATATAACGAGGCCAAAGCTGGCGTCCCCGAGGGTAATGGTTGTCGACAAGAGCACACGACCTGGCGGTGTTGGCGGCCGATTGAAGAAGGACCGTCACGCACCTCGACATGTTCATGGGTCGACACTCGCTTATTATACACCCTCAAATGTCCTCTAGGCAATGATATACACTCGTAAGCGATAAAACCAGCTCAGAGCAGCTAGTCATGGTGATACAGCCATGGAGATTGGCAACATGACAGGGAGTATAGGCATACACCCCTCTGGCTCTGGTTTCCGTACCTCGCTCCTTACACGCTCCCTGCCCGGGTGGAGTTCACTTTGTTTTCCTGGGTCAGCCTAGAGCATCAGTTTAAATAGAGTCTGGCGTCCCGACCATGGTCGTTCGCTCCCACTCAATCTGTTTCTCACCAATGCCCCGTTTCTAGCCTTTAGAAATCGACCCTTCACTACTATCTACCATGTCTCCGTCCGATAAATACCTTGGTCAATCTTTTCTCGACGAAGAACAGCTGCAAGCCATGATGTCTTCCAGTGAGCGAAAGGGGAGCAGCACAGAGACCGTTCGTGAAGAATCGCTCGATTATTCACCGAGGAGTTCCGAAGATAAGGAGACTAGCGTAGACGTAGCTTATGAAGAATCGCGTAGGTCTACAAAGAGGAAACGCGAGGATGATCCGGATACTAGAGGTATGGCAACCCAGGTGCTTGTTGGAAGAGAGTCTAACGTATCAGGAAGCGAGCGGCTCACCCCATCGGGGAGGACCCCCGCCGCCTACCGTTTGGCAGGAAGGCTTTCGTCAGCAAGGTACTTTTAAGATCAAGTGGAAGATGCGGACAATCATCGAGGAACATAATGAGATTTTCTTTTGGATCCCACGACAACTACTCCATGACGTGAGGCGTCGAGTGGCAGCAGTGGGATGGGGACAGGATCTTATTGTCGCCAAGAGAAGGGATCATCTTGTCAATATATGTGTAAACTTCCAGCCGGGACGCGAAGGCCCCCTCTCAGCGCTCCTCAACGTTCTGGAACGGGCCATTGAGCAGGGCGAGAGCAAGGACGACGAAGAGGCACAAGGGAGCGGGGGTGAGAATGGCACAGAGGCATATGAGGGCGAGGTTGAAGACGACACAGAGGCATGTGAGAGCGAGAGCGTAAGCGAGGATGAGGGGGTTGAGGTTGAGGAGAGCGAGTATGGGAACGGTGATGAGAGTGAGAATGAGATTGGAAATAGGAACTAGGCCAAGGAGAACTAGTACATATGGGTCCCTTGCTATTGTTGCGTCAAGAGAATATGATTGGTACTCGTATATATTCACTCAATATATGTAAGGAGATGTGAGGGTATTAGATTCTATTCTTGAATGCGGAGGAAGAAACGTTGGTCGGCGCGTAGGCCAGCCGGTAGCTATCGTAACCGGCTTCATGTAGGCCTCTATCTACTGTGATTCTTCTCATCGCCTTCCGACACCGCCTGGCTTAAGCACGATCAGGTCGCGCTTTGAGGTCCAGAAACGCGAATCGTGTTACACGCTGGCAAATATGCCAGATGAAATCTGACAGTGAGGGGGCCTAGAGAGTACTATGGGTTAGTCGGGCTGCATCACCGTCTCTCCTTGCTTCATATGGAAGTCAATAATATTACAAGTCTAGGTTAGCAGAGTCAGCCAGTCCACGACTTCGGGCGGTGTAGATGAGCGATAAATATTATGTTAAAAGGGGAGAGACAAAAGCATTTTTCTATTCTGTTGGTGGCGACACTGAGAAAGTAACCGCAAATAGGGTATACGCCGAAAGGTGCATGGTGGGAAAGCCAATACGTCGTCTCGCAAAGCGTCAGTTGGCAAAGCGTCAGTTGGCAAAGCGTCAGTTGGCAAAGCGTCAGTTGGCAAAGCGTCAGTTGGCAATGCGCCGTTTTCAGAAGAGTGCGAGAACAACGAGCATCTAACCTGACCAATTACGTGGCAGTCTTTTTCATTCATCTAAATGGATGGATCAGATGTGATTGGTCTGCCACAAGTAGCCGGATTAGTAGTCGGACCGAGAATGCTTGAGGTCTTGGTCTAGATGTGGGAGTGCGCTCGAATGGATTGAAAACTGCCTTGAACTTCCAGCTCTAAAACGGACTAATGCGTCACAGTGGCACCAGAGAATGGATAAATCGGATCAACAACCCCCTGGGCTTCGGCTACTGGCGTTTAGATTGATAAGCAGTGAGTCATGGCAAAATTAAGGAAGTGGCCACTGGACCTACCGAGAGACGTCTCCGGGGATGGGAACAAATCGGATCCAAAATGTGGTCCATCTTAAGGGGCCAGACTTTTCTCAAATAGCCTCTTCCAGTATAGGCTGCTTCAATAGTGTGAAAGCTAGACCTTTCAAGCTAATAGCTCAAGCCGCGATGTTCGATGTTCAGGTGCGTTGGGTTTGGCGGTGCTTGAGTGGACACTCAGCTGGGTTCAACCGGGTGACTACCACTAGCACGTGATCAATAAAATCATGGCGCCAGTATCAACGGTATTAATACTCACAGGGAGGACTTCACGTCAGCTAAGTATACGACAATGCTCCATTCTTACCCAACTCCGCACAGAGAATACTGGCCTCAAAGACGTCTTATTCAACCGACATATTCCGGGTGTTATAGACCCCAAATGCGACTACGGAGGAAGGTGACAAACCGTAATGCATGTCCTGGTACAATGCCGAAGATACCGGCGCTGTCGACGACAACTATTCGGGCCATTCCCAGGAAACCTTCGGAGAATAGTCAATGGACGCAAATCAGCCTTCAAGGCCATCAACAAACACAGATGCTCGTGCGATTCAGGATCGAGACCTAACTAGACGAAGCCCTGCACTGGGGGGAGACTAGATACACGTTAGACGCAGAAACGAGGAAACCGCCTCGTAGGAGCCTGGGGGCGCATGTACATCAGTATTAGAACCATTCTCCACAGAAGCTGGCGGACGGATGCAGATAGAGGTTGAAGAGGAAGAGGCGAGAATGCTTAATAGGCATAGCTGCATAACTGAAAAGCGGCTGGAACCGAGTAGGATTAAATCAATCAATGAATTTCACAGGGAGGGCATTGCCTCCAGTTTCTATGATGCCGCCCTTTTCCACATCCCAAGTCCAACAAACATACTTCTCATCACGGTATACCTCATTTAAGCGTCATGGTGCCGTCCGATCTCTGGAAGGCGATAAAGCCCAGATCCCCTTGTCTAATGACAAACGTCGCCGGGTTATTGCGCTTTTTATTCGAGAACACCCTCAGCGTCCTCTTCACGTGTTCAAGCTCGTTATGAGACGGGCGAAACTTGTATAGATCCTGGGAGCGAGAGAAGTGGGTGCGGTGCATCTAGCCTGGGCCAGTCTTGCGGGTTGTCGCAGCGTGGATTTAGATTCACTGGTCACGTGCCATGGCGTTTTTTCCAGCCATATGGAGACTGCCTAAGCTGTGATATCTTATCGATAGGAAATCGGAGGATTGACTGCTTAACACCATCACGGAATTAGTGGTAAAATACGGAGTACTGAGTGCATCCTTTGCACTTCAAATCTCCATTGGTGCGGGTCTTAGAATGCTAGTGAGAAAATTAGCGAGAAAATCAGCAAACTACGCAAGAATCGTAGATCTCAAGTACACTTCGTTTGCGGACTATTTCCAGATTTGAAGTTGAATTAAAATATATATTGCATGTCTTGTATAGATCGTGCTGATCCACGTCATGCCCCAGGACTTTGGCCGGGTTGTCGAACGCGATCTGGCATATCCGGCTCTCTGCAGCTAGATTTTGAGAGTCTGTAGGTGGCATTGTCAATAAGGATTGAGATGATCTACTAAGGTAACCACCACAGTCTGCAAATCTAGCTACAGCCAATTAATTGTAAATATAAGCAACTTTATCTTATTATACGGTTCAACGTTCCGCCAACACCTTTGGATCCATCCGGGCATCGTGGAGGATCTTCTTCATCGAGGAATAGAGCTCCGGCTCTTGCCTCTTCCATCTCCCACCATTAGGAAATACTTTCCTTCGCAGCCTATTGACCCATGGGATCAGCGGCCGGTAGTGCGACGTGAAATGCTTGTCTACCTTCTTGAGAAAATCTTCCTCATCCGCGATCTCGCCCTTCTTCAGTTCTGCTAACTCATCCGTATCAACATAATTCCATTTTTCAAATCGCGGCACCGGCTTGCCGTCGTTAGGGCCATTGTAGTGAATACATATCCAGAACAATACCCAGAAGAAGGACTCAAGATCATGCATGAAGGAGTGCTCATCATCCAACAGTGCTCCTATAGCCATAAATGCCCTCGTTCCTGTCTTTCCCTTTGCCCCAGAAGCACCTTCTCGTTGCTCTCGGACAGCAAGGTCAAGGTCGATCAAGAAGGCTGTCCTAGAGGGGTTCTTTTCGTCCTCGTTCATCATGAGGTTGTTGATAGAAATGTCTCTGTGGAGAAGGCCCGCCTTGTGCAAGTGATAATGGCCGTCAATGCAGCCTTCCACCGCAGAAAGCAGCGCTACGCGAGAGCTTGCTTTATAGATTGGTTTTCCGTAGTCGCTAAGGATAACTCGCCGGTGCATCCGGTTTGGTGGTCGTTCGCCGCTTGCCTTTATTGGAGAATTTGGACGGGACCGCTTAATCGGCGGTAGAGTGGCGTCAGCATCGCTGGATGGCCGCTTAATGCCAGCGCTGGTGCTTCGCCCTTTGCGGGAAATAGATACGTTCGTACTGGACTGTAGCGTCGCACGTCCTGGTCGATAGTTAGCAGCTTCTGTGACGTCCAGGCACTTTCGAATGTTTTGTTGGATGTCGTCATTGGCACCTCGTACGCGAACGGTCTCATGATGGTAATATCGGGCAACGTTAGCAACGCCTTTCTCAGTCGCCTCTCGGAGAAGTTCGCCTTCTTCGTCCCGATCAGTATATTGCCACGAGTCTTTGATAACAAGCGGTGTCTGCGGATCCTCCTTGCGATGAGCTCTCCAACAGACAGTCGCCCGACCGGCAACGCAATGTGCTCGCTTCATGACCTCGTCAATGATGAGGCGCTCTGTTTTGCCGTGTCGTTCAATGTCGATATATTGCTCATCGCCAGATGCTCTAATGGTAGGGTCAAACCCAAGCATCTCCTCGTTCATCCGTAGAAATCCGAGGATGGTCGTCACAAACTGTAGCCCACCAGCCTTCTTGTTGATATCAAATTGTTCGGAGGCGATTCCCCCAAGCCGGTCGAACTCCCATACCCTCATAAGAGACCCGCAGAGAGTAAAGCCCAGTACGAAGCGACGAGTCTCTTGGGCCCCGAATACCTCTCTCACATACCTTGCAAGATCAATCCATGCAATCGACTGTGTGTCCGCCTTCGGGTTGCTTTTCAGTTCGCCGGCAACGAGGATGTGTGACCAGCGATATCTCGAATCTTCAGAGTCAGGATTGTAAGTGATTCCACTGTTAACAAAGCCGATATCCATGCTGCGTTTGCCTGTGGAGCCAATTAATGGAGTCCTAGGCTGCGCCAATAGCTTGCGTCGGGTCGCCACTCTCGGATCGTGGTCGCTTGCGAATGCTTCCAGCTTGGGTATCAAGCCACTAAACCAAGCCAGCACCTCGCTCTCTTTGGCGGTTGCTGGCCATCCAGTCCAACCATCAGTGAACAGCGGATGGTCGCCGTCGGTGCACCTGCGAAAAACTGCCTCAGAGACTCTGTCGAGGTCTGGCACGTCTCCAAAGAAGGCTTTGTGGAAATTGGGTAGTCCAGTATAGAGATGCTCAAGCTCCAACTTAAGGATCGGATCCACATTCTGGCGAAATTCCGACGAGTTCACGAGGCCGCTTGTATTCTGACTCAACGGCGTTTGTTGGATCGACGAAGGTATTGGTCGAGGAGGCGGGGTCGATTCTGTAACAGCTTCGTAGAGATGATTCCAGATGATGGCATCGTCTAGCTCATCAGCGAGCGCGGATTTTAACAAGGGTTTGACGCGGTCAAAGTCGAAGTCATCCGAGGCAACAGCAGAAATGAGTTTGAGGAGATCGTTTCGGAGGGGGCCGTGGCCTGTCTTTGATTGCAATAAGAGGATGACGGGGAGTTTTCGCAGAAGGGAAAGGAGATCGAGAGCGAGATTCTGGATATCTGCGAGCTGGTTAGAGGAGTAGACCTCGGCGAAGTTTATATACCTTACCTTCATGGGTAAAGTGGGCAAGCGGATCAGGCGAGTGAAAGATGGTTCTGTCTTTGCAGAGGGAGTTGAAAGAATCGCGAAAAACGTCGAGACTGCTTCCAATAGGATGGTCCTCAATCAATCTGGACTGGCCTTGGTGCGCCATGGCACTGTCATAGGCCTGTTATGTCGCACGAGATGCACAAAGCCGTGTTGAAGTAGGTGTGACAAAGTGACACCCAGCCCCTTTCGGGATAATTTCGGAACGGCGTTGTCAACCACATTCCTCGCAGGCAGTCAATTAGTCATACTGTACCCTGTCCCACGTTCTCCAATCACATTCCAGGGCTTCTAGCAACAGTAACCCATACTTGATCGGTATGAAAAAATGCCGTCATGACGCTTTCTTGTTAGACCCGCTAAGGTTATTTGAGCTTTTGTAGTTACTTGGGATTATGATACTCCCCGATCTTCCCAACGAGTCTGGCCTTGATCAGCCGCTAGCTTCTACCCGAATCCCTGCGCGCTTCGACTCTCACATGCGACTCTGCGTTCGCGATATCTCTCGTACGCATTTCTGCGCACGCTGCAATTCTCGTACGCGAATTCGCGGGTGCGGTCTGTACAGGGGGCGTCTCGTACGCAGTTTGGCGTACGCAGCCCAGGTAATCCATCATTCATGAATTAAGAGCTATTTTCAACCTATATTTTAGGCACATATTGTATGCTTCATTATAGGGCATTGAGGTACATATAGTACTTAAAGAAAACTATAGATAGTGCTAGAGAGGTGAGAGATGTAGTACTGGAGAGGTAATGAGGCATCGTGCTAGGGAGATAATTGCCTTGATGGGTTCTCGGTTCAGATCCGATGAGTAGTACTCTCAAGGCATTTGGCGTAGCACTCCATAGATGTTATAGAGTACTACTCAGGCAGTTGGCGCAGCACTCCATAGATGCTATAGATAGTACTAGCAAGGCAGTTGGTGTAGCGCTCATAGATGCTATAGATAGTACTAGCAAGGCATTAGGCGTAGCACTCCACGGAGGCTATCGATAGCACTGGAGGCGTGTAGTGCTCGAGGGGTGTAGCACTCGGAAGGTGTCGTGCTTGGGAGGTGTAGCACTCGGGAACTGTAGTGCTCGAGACGTATAGCACTCGGGAACTGTAGTACTCGGGAGGTGTAGTACTCGGGAGGTGTAGTACTCGGGAGGTGTAGCACTCGAGATGTGTAGCACTCGAGGGGTGTAGGACTCGAGACGTGTAGCACTCGGGAACTGTAGTACTCGGGAGGTGTAGCAGTCGGGAGGTGTAGCACTCGGGAGGTGTAGCACTCAAGACGTGTAGTACTCGGGAGGTGTAGCACTCGGGAACTGGAGTGCTCGAGACGTGTAGCACTCGAGGGGTGTAGCACTCGAGACGTGTAGCACTCGGGAACTGTAGTGCTCGGGAGGTGTAGTACTCGGGAGGTGTAGCACTCGGGAGGTGTACCTAGTACCTAGTGCTCCAGAGGCGTGTACTACATATCGGTGATAGGTAGTACTGAGAGGGGTAGTATTTGGGGACGAAGTGCTTGAAGGATATTACGCATGGGCTATAGATAGCAGGACAGAGAGATGTGATGCTCGACTAGCACTTACGTAAGGATGTTCCAGAAGATTCACCATCCAAGAAACCAGGTATCCCTAAACCCACCCCCTAGTGCTGCACCCAGGGGTGTGCAAGTACTGAGGAGTGCTCTCATGGATTGCACCGGGACACATCTTTGATGGGACGAGAAGTGCCTTGAGACTGTTAGCTGGGCACTTAAGATGGTCATGTATGTAGAGGGTTCTTTCTCTCGCGCTGCCACGTACCTATGGAGTGTTTTATGTATCAAACAATTCGCTCACTGATAATCAGCCACTAGACGGCTTTCATGTGAGTGAAAAAAATGAATTGGCTTGGCAAATTTCGACAAAAAAGTCCGGAGTTACATTTTCCCGTCGACCTGTCCCACAACTTGGCGTGGCTGAATGGCTGGCTCATTGATGTGCGGTTGTCTTATCACACACGCGGTTTCTTGCATGTGTCTCTCACGTAAGCAGTAATCAGATGTATGTCGAGGACAAACCTATTTGAAGTAGCCTTAATATATTTTCTTCTCCTTTCAGCCGACACGCGAAATGGCGGTTCTTCCGCACCCACGATGCACGCCCATCCATCCTCTTGAGGGAACCTTTAAACAAAATTCGGGATCTTCAAAGTCAGGCACTTCCCTTCCTCCTTTCTCCACACAGTAATGTCGGTGAGCTTCACTCGAAAATAGCCGTGACTGCACATCCGAAGTTGCCCCGATGCCCATATGAGATCAATATTGTGACGCTGTCACCGAAGCTACGCCACCTCACCAACCAGTTGCTCTTCCATACAGCAAACACCGTGGCTGCGCAGTACTAGCAGCTTCGCCAACTCATCCAAGCAATGGAAATATGGGCACAATCTGAAGGCGATGGAAAGTTTTGTCATCGACTTGATGCTGTCTCTTATTCTAAATTCATCGAGGGGCATCGAGGGGTACAAGGATGGGAGCTCAATGGCAGCAAGGCAATGAGTTACGAGTGGAGCGTTAAGCCAAGAAATTTTGTGCGCCACTAATGAGGATCGCTTGACAAGTTTAGGGCCGGAAGGGGGTCAGTCAAGGTTACATTCAGTTGGTGGACCTATGCATGAAGTTCATCCCTGCTTTAGAAGGTAGTGCGACCTGTATCCCTGCCTTGGCAAACTGGCCTGGTCAGCCTGAGACCACCAGGATGGTACTATTTCCTGGGCTCCTGGACAATATTTCAAACTCTCAAGTTCGTATTTTACTAATGCTCATACTATTTTTGCTAGTTAGAGCCACCGCGACCGCGAGGAGAGCAGCGACAAACACTTCACCGCTGGAACTGGCCCCAAATTCAAAGAATATTTTTCTGGTTAAAAACGGCGGCTACAGTTCGGCTAGCTCGAGGCTGGGTTACACTCAGGTTGGAGGCATGAATCTAGGGGTAAACATGTATCTTTGTCGTTAAAGACCTGGTAGACTCTGACATCGTAAGTTTTGCATTCGCTCGGTCCACAAGCTCACGCGTCCTAGTGGAGAGGGTGGTCACACACAATGCAACCATGTGATACAATGCAAACTAGTCTAGTTATCTTATCTAATATTTGTATGTATATAAATTACCTGCCTTCCCCAAGTTATTCCTTTCCTTGAATTTTTCATATGCTGTCCTAACGATCCTTTCACCCACTACCTGCACCACCATTTTCCACTAAATTGATTGAATCATCCGCCAAGCCCCTACATCCAAGCAGAATGTGCCGCATACCTTGCCGGCTGTGTCCACCAGCCTTGTCGCCATCGCAGAGATGAGCATGGAAGCCGATGATTCAGTTATTGCAACAGTAATTGAAGTGTGTCTGAGGACAATCAGGGTGTCCGAGGAAAGCTGGTGTGTACGCGGCCATTTACACGTCCCAGGACCAGCCATAAGTCCTGGGACCAGCCACATGTCCTGGGACCAGCCACATGTCCTGGGACCATCCATACGTCCTAGGACCAGCCATAAGTCCTGGGACCAGCCACACGTCCCAGGACCAGCCATAAGTCCTGGGACCAGCCACACGTCCCAGGACCATCCATACGTCCCAGGACCAGCCACATGTCCCAGGACCATCCATACGTCCCAGGACCAGCCACATGTCCCGGGACCAGCCATACGTCCTAGGACCAGCCATAAGTCCTGGGACCAGCCACATGTCCTGGGACCAGCCACATGTCCTGGGACCAGCCACACGTCCCAGGACCACCCATACGTCCTAGGACCACCCATACGTCCTAGGACCACCCATACGTCCTAGGACTAGCTATATGTCCCAGGACCAGCCATCCCTGCGGTCCGAGGACATCTGTGTGGTCCGAGGACAGCTATGCGGTACTAGGACAGTCCTGTGGTCCGACGACAGCTCTATGGTCCGCAAGCAATACAATCACTCATTTCAACATGTACGAGGACAGCTGGTGTGTACGCGGACAGCTAGCGTCCCTATGAAACGCCGCGCATTTTATGCTCGGGCCGCAGTTTTTGGCCTGAGCTAAGTGCCTGGATATTGACCAAGGAACAATGTACATGGAGTGTATGTAAAGGGGGGAGTGTATACAAAAGGGTGTGTTTCTGGCGCGGGGCTAAGAACGGCCGAATGGCCAAGCCATTTACGGCGTAGGCACAAAGAAGCCTTTTCCGGCTCTCACATGTCTGTATTCATAAATTTTAGGATGAGCTTGTACATAACAGGTTATGAATAAACAATACAGTATGACATTGATTAATAGAACAGATCAGGTCTGAGTATATGTAAGATGTAGCACAAAGAAAACAAAAAGATAGGATCAATATGCCTCTGGGTCGGGAAACATCTGGTGCTGGATACAACACTGAAATGTGATCACGTGAGTGTCTTGCACAAGCGGAGAGCAATCAAATCACAAGTCAGCCGTACTTTACCCCTTCCCGGAGGTGGTAGTTGACGTAATATACTCCGCTCAACCCGTCAGTTCATCTTTCCTGACTGCCGATTTTTTAATGACACGACACGAGCCATGCGCCGAAGACCATATTGAAGGCATCGCCAATGCTAGCCACATCTACTCATGCCTCGCCAACTCCCCTACACTACCGTGACCCCAGCACAAACCCCATCTTTTCTGTCTCCATTGAAGAGATGGCCCGAAACGGCGCCCAAAGCAGAATATCGACAACGTTCAACTCACGCCACCTCCGAGTAGACATCGCTGCATCAGCGCTCGCGACAACCCGTCTCCGCCGATAGCGATACGCTGGTGTCGTTGTCGTCGTCCAGGCTCCTTCAACTTCGCCGATATCCGCGCCGCCCTTCGCCGACACCTCCGGCCGTGCTGTCGGCTCGTCGGATGTATCTCTACGATTGTGTACAGATCGAGGTATCGCTAGCCAAGCCTTGGGCATCGTCCCGCGAAGACACTCCAGAAAGGGCACCATTACCGAGCAAAGATGCCATTCCAGCTACAGAAATGGCGGATACGACATCGACTGGCTTTCAACCAGATCTACCACACGGCCCATACCGTTACCGCATCATGTCCTGTTGAACATATCGTAGAAATTACTGCCCATATGCTGTTAGAGCTAGAATCAATAAATGACGCGATGCAAACATCACAACCCAGGTTAACTCAACTCCACTCAAAGGTAGATATACATTCACCGTAAAACTCTAGCTTCTAATATTGACGAGCCTATTGTAGGTTGTGTAGGTTGGCCCAGTGTAGGCTCGTCTATTGTGTAGGCTGGCCTATTACGTAGGTTGGCCCATTGTAGGCTGGCCTATTACGTAGGTTGGCCCATTGTAGGCTGGCCTATTACGTAGGTTGGCCCATTGTAGGCTGGCCTATCATGTAGGTTGGCCCATTGTAGGCTGGCCTATTACGTAGGTTGGCCCATTGTAGGCTGGCCTGCTGGATGGGCTATCCCATCGGATGGGCTGTCCCATCTTGGGCTATCCCATTAATGGGCTGTCCTACTGGATGGGCTGTCCTATTGGAAGGGCTGTCCCATTGGAAGGGCTGTCCCATTGGAAGGGCTGTCCCATTGGAAGGGCTGTCCCATTGGAAGGGCTGTCCCATCATGGGCTAGCACACAGAATGGGCTGGTACACTATGTGCTATCGATCGATTGATTGATTGATTAATTAATTCATAGTCTGTCCCAGCCGCCTTTATCGGCTGCTATGCAGCGGTACAACTATAAATACAAGGTCGAGGCCGCCCACCTTCGGCTCTCAGGCTGACTTCCACTCCACCATGAACTGCCTGCGTCGGGAGCCACAAGCCGTTCAACTATCGAGTTTAACTTCCTCTCTGCCTCTTGTGGGTGTCCTCTACCTGGTTTGTATCTACAGCTATCATAATTGTTCTGTGTCTCTGACTTGTCCGGCCCTTTCCAGCCTTCCTTTACTTCTGTTTAACAGTATTCATTCGTCTGCGCTGATGTTTTGTCTTGTCCTGGATGTGACCGAAGGTCTCGATCCGTAAGATCCATCCTGTTCTCATTCCGTTTGTCTGTACTTCTCTCGCTGGGTAACCAAGCGCCTGCTGCCCTGTGCGATAGTTGATTGTCTTGTGTGCGCTGCATGAAGTGCAGACGTTCTTTGATAGATGTACTTGAAATGCACGGGGCATGCTCCTTGATTTCTGTGGGCGGTGCCTGCTCATGACACCATAGACACTATCAGCAACCAGACGCGTCGCAAGGGCGTCTATTGCAACGCTAGTGTGCTAAGGTGTAGGCTAGCTGTGAATGTTGCAGCATATGAGGCGTCTGTAGAGGTGTGTTCTGAGCTGAGTGTGGTGTTGTTACTGGTGTTGTGTAGACTCGTTCAATTGTGATGGTTAGAATTAAAGTTTAACAATGTTTTATTCGATGTGCTGCCATATTCGTCGGCCTCGTCAGCTTGGTGTCGCCGCGTCATGTCGGTAGAAATCAGTCGCCCTTTTCCTTCATTCCGCGCCGTTGTCGCGTATTCCTCGATATTCTGTACCGTAAACCGTTGTCGGGCAGGAACAATGGGTGGACCAAGTCCATTTTCCATCCTGGGGCGTACTCGA